TCCCACGTCCCCTTGCCTGGGGAAGCAAAAAGCAACACTTCTGCAACAGCCTCTTACAGCTTTGCAGCTTGCAGAAATCTTTGACTCAGCAGAAAAAGGAAGGGAAGAAAAAAAAAAAATATCCTTCACTTAGGTACGTGCAAATACTGAGCACTATTTAAAGCTCATTCATTTAGGCCTCAGCTTGACTTCAGGCTTACGAGTAATCCCACTAAAGCCAGGTACATACTGAAGTGCTTTACATGTTCCTTCTCATCAAATTCTAGTTCTCAAAGTTTTCATTTCAGCTTTTGGCATTGTTACACCTTTTTCTTTCTGGCTGATTACTCTGTTAGTTGTGAAGGTCAGGGCTAAATGCCACTTGAGGTGATGAGCCTGAGGTTCAGGATTACCTTCTTATATCACTCAAGACTTTCCTTCAATATTGTGTTGTGGTTTTTTTTGTTTTTTGGTTTTTTTTTTTTTAATTAGTGAGTTCCAATGCATTTGTAGCATCTAATCTTACTATTATGTCTGGTAAAGTGGCACCTCCTTCTTTGAAACAGGGACAGGTGACCCACAGAGTCACATTTTTATTCAGGATTTTTTTTTTTGGTTGATGCTGTTTTATTGAAATGCTATGGAAGTATATTGCAGACATTTCTTGCTAGGATGTGTGCTGCTTTTCAGTTTATTAACACTGTAAATAACCACAGAGAAAGAATTTATCAATGCATACGCAGGCTGCACTCTGGTGAACTGGGAGCAACTGCTCAGAATAACTGCTGGTGAAAGCAGGTTTTGAGTACCACAAGGCGGGGGGAGGGAATTAAAAAAAAAACAAAACAAAAACCACCACCCACAATAAACACCCCACGACTGCAATAGGAATTCTGTCACAAAATGGGGTGTAAACAGAGTCAGGCACTACCTAGACAGAACTAGGTACCCCCAACCATCTGATTTCACTGCATTATGGAGAGTTTAACATTCAGAATACCAAAAGCCTTAATCAATGGCAAAGAGGCAACACCTCGGGAGAGCCTGGGTGAGGTGTTCAACGTGTGAACAGCCCGTGCTACCTTCAACTATTTTGTGCTGTGGTGTCACCACTCTACACTGCTGACATAGAAATGGTTGTCTGCTGCTCGTAAACCTTGGTCAGCAGCTGGGCAGTACAAGTATCACGCCTGAAGGGGGTTTAGTGGCATGTAGTCCTGAAAAAGTCACGTACTGCCTTGCAGAGGCAGCAATGCCAAGGTGCAAGACTTGAACCAAGCTGGTGCTGAGCTGCGTCACGGACACCACCAGCAGCAGAAGTCAAGGACCCTGAGGAACTAAGGCCTAAATTCTGCTACGATCTCTGACCTGCCTTCCACAAACACGGCAGTTGCCCAGTAAGGCTGCAGATGACAGGCATCATTCTGTAAATCTGTATGAACATTACACAGAAAACCACTAGTATTCTATTGTTCATAATGACAATGCTGAAAGGTGTAGTAGGTCTTGTGATTTATGGGCTAACCTCTGCTTCAAGTGCAGATTCTCAAATGTAAATTCTCAACAAAGTGTTTAAATGGCAATACTAAAGCGTAACGGTGAAGTACTTGCGAGCAGCTATGCAGCAGAGCATGGGATGAGACCTGGGTTACTGCAGACACATTCTCGCCTCGGTGGCAATCGGAACTAGAGCAGGAGGTTCTCTGCCATCTTCTACTGCTCCAGACATCGTAAGAAATTCTAGAACAACATGTACCCTGTGCCATGAGAACATGTGAGCTAAAAAGTACCGAAAAGCGTGGGTGGGAAGTAGGGAGCAAGAGGAAATAGGGGGTTTTTGTGGATCGAAGTGCTCCAAACAGCAGAGAAAGAAACCTGCTGTAGTATTTCCTCGGGGCCAGAACTGCTTATGAAATGCAGTGCAAAAATGTCACTGTCTCTCTTCCTGAGCGTCCCCTTCCCCACTGAGGGCAGCAGTTCAGCACCCGCATCGCCGTGTACCTCTGCAGAGCTGCCCGTGGAGCCAGCGGGTTTGAGCCACGGAAGTAACACCCAAGGCCTGCGGCCTTAATCGCCTGTATCCCGCCATATCACAGAGTTAATATAAAGCCTGTTAGTCTTCATCCATTGCTATCGATTCTTTTGGAGGATCATGTTCATTCTCTCAGTATCCAGCATGCACGGGATACAAATTTCCTTATCGGTATAAAAAGCAGGGGCGTAGGAAGTCATCCCACTTACAGCAGCGTATTACCTCCCGTGTACCTTCGGATAGGCAATGATGATAGGACCTGCCAGTTTACAACAGCTCTTTATTTTACTCATATTATAAAACATCATCACAGGGCTTTAGTCACCTGTTTCAAATCATGAACTTCATTTTCCCCTTTATTATAAATACTAACAAATTAACTTTATTTTCCATCAGCAATACCATAAAAACTTAGTCTAACTGGACATATTTTTCAGCGATCCCCTGATGCAAAAATCCTGAAGAATTTGAAGTAGATCTCTATATTGTATATACACTTAGTTTTATATATACTTATATCAAAACTCACCATTTCTGTATATCACTCATTATCATGACCTTTCACTTAATAAATTATGTCAGCATTATGAAAATATGAACAACCATCTAGTTATTTTGCTGCTTTATAAGATATTTAATGATCAAACAGAGAACTGCAAAATTACATGAATGCAATGGAAAGTCATGTACACGTTCATTTAAGATTTCCACATGGACTTCTCATATTCCAAACTTTTCCCACATTTTAGAAGTCCTTCAAAAGCTTCCAGTTACCTCGTTCTTTAAACACATACACACAAAAAGTAATGATGTGCGTATATGTATTATACATTACATACTATATGTAATTCTCTATATATTTATAAGCAAATATATGTAACATACTCTGAATATACATATCGTATGTAATATATACATACACAGAGAGATACCACAGGTGTGTCATATGCATTTAGACATACAGGTGTATGCATAAATATATATACATATATATATGGTAAATTCTTCCCTCTGATACATATACGCTGCTCGTTCTGAGAACTGGGTGCCTTCCACGGAAACCTCCTGCCGTCAGCGGGATCCATTCACTTCCAAAGACACAAGCGAACCTGTCCCTGACCCGTTTAACTTCAGTAAGTTTTGGCTCATGCCTTTTGAACTCCAGTTCATGCTTTGAAATGGACCCACCTTGTCCTTGGACCCACCTTGTACTTGGGTTAAGTTTTAAATCACCAAATTAAACACAGCTGGCACTATAATGTATTTAAACAAATAACCAAGAGCACTTCAAAAATAAAAATCACATGGGGCCTTATTCTTCTCCTGCTGACGCCTGTTTCATCCCAGTGCGACTCAGTTGTCCGAAGCGACTGCTGCATGCGACGAGGAACCTGTGAGTAGTCTGCCAAGGCCGCTTGTCTTGGCTTTGGAGTGTAATTCACACAGACTTTGAGTAGGTTGAGCTGTTTATTTTGCATTTAGATTTGTAAAGGAAAGAACAGGCCTTTTATGGAAAGATAAAAGATGGATATTCACTAGAAATAACAGCATAGATTATACATTCTTAAGTGAAACGTGTGCACCATATAACCTTTGGGTTACGTTTTTAATTTTTAGATAAATATTTACTTACTGAATGTGTTTCTACTACTATACACCTGATTAACCAGGACAACTTTTATTAAAACGTTTTAGATGAATACTCTGCATATTAAAAATACATAATAAAATTCTGACTAGTCGCTGCTAAAAAGTAGATCTTGGATCCTGCAAAGATCCAAAGCACCTGCTTAAAATTAGAATTTGAGTAGGTCCACTGATGGCCTTTACTGTAAGTGAGTGCCTAAATATTTGCAGAATCAAGACTTACTATTCAAAGGTTAAATTTGGGATCTCACACCTGAGAACATGTAGTGGTTACTACCATGAGTAATCCCCACCGAGGAGAATGTTACATCTTGTGGCAATAGCCAGAGCAGACTCCAAGGGCGAGAGAGACCGACTTTACTCATGTATGAAAAGCGAGGGTGGGACTGACTCTTTAAGCAGCAAAGAGCAATGATTACCAACAAATCTTCCCAAACACTACATTTTATTTCCCAAGAAGGCCAACTTTGCATTACACATTAATAACTTAGGCATATTTTTCTCCTTAAATATATTTGTATAACATAGAAATAACAAATCTCTATTTCTAAAAATGAAATTTGAATAAAAAATTTGCTTTGGGACTGAAACTGCGTACTTCAAATTTCTCCCACAGCAATTTACTGACAGCCAGGTTGTAAACCCCAGAAAACAGGGGTCTGTGGTGGGAAATGCTGACACAGCCTCATCCTACATGGCCGTAGTACATCTGGCTATAGAGATGAGCAGATGCACTTTTGCACATGGGTTGCCAGAAATCCTACAGCTCATTCCCTATGTGCTCATTCTTCTGTAAGATGGTAAATTGATTTAAACTGCCAAAATTAAAAAAAAAAAACCAAAACACAAAACCAAAACTGAAACTTGTGCTTCTAGAATGCCCTGACCCTGTTTGCAAAGCACTTCCCCTTGTTGCCTGGCTTTGGCATCACTTTCCCTTCCTTATTGCATGCCTGTTGAACCGTTCTGTGGCTGAAGTGTTAGTGTGTATGTTGTATAAGTGTATACATTGAAGAAAACTCTCAAAATAATTGGATTTCTGCAGATTGGGTTGGTAAATTTTCTTCATCTCTGGATTATTTCTTTTTGTAGGGTCTAGTGCCTCTTTGGTTGAACCCGATGGGCAAAGTCCCACTGAAGTCAATGATGCAAAAGGAGCTGTTAGACGTTCAAAGGTCTCTCCAGCCAACCTCTTTGTGATTCCCTCTCTCACAAAAATTTTTAAAAATGTGCCCATTATCACCAACTGCCAATGTTAAAATTCACTCTTTTTTTAATACAAACAACATTTACCACAAAAATATGAAGGGAAAAGCCATTAACTTGTTTGCAGGTTATTACCTATTTGTATGACACAAAAGAAAAATCATTTACAGTCACAAACTGTACATAGTATTTGGTGGGGGACAGTGTATTTGTGGTTTAGAGTAAAAAAAGGATTGCTTCGGTGGTAATTAAAATAATTATTGATGAGATAGAAGACTTGAAAATCAAGAAAGTGTGATAATTTGGCTACAGAGACAATCATTGTAATATGTCTTAACACAGAGGTTTGGGTTAGTAGAAAGGTGAGTAGAGGGATCTGGGGAAGGAAAGACACCGTCATGCAGAACAGCACTAGTTCTTGCTCAGTATACTCTTCAGGCTTCTCTCCACTGCTTCATCTAATTCTTCCTCCAACTCTTCCTTCTTGGACATGGCCAGTTTGGACTGATAATCTTTTACTATTTGGTCTATATATGGTGCGCTCTGAGTCCCATGCAGCATCAGTGTCCACTCCTTCAGCACTCCCCGCTGTGGCAGACTGCCAACAAACCCAATCTCTAGAGCCCAGGTGCCTCGGGGGTCTTCTCCCCAAGTGTGTGTGGTCATGAAAGGCCATTTGTCAAAACCCACCTTGGAGTCGTCATCCCTGGGACGCCGGCTCAGTAAAATGGACTTTGTTCCCATTGGCGAGGTCATGTTGATGTTGAGGTCTCCTCGCCTCGTGGAATTCACAGTTATAACCGCCTGGACGTGCTCAAGGTATCGGACAAAGTTTTCCTTCCCCTCACAAGCATCAGTTGTAAGTGTGAGGACCAGCTTGCCACTTGGTGGTATCTTTCTGCAGTTCAAAAGATAAGTAAGCAAATTAAAAGGATATAGACAGCATGACATGGCTAATTCTAAAACTACTGGGTTTTGGTGCCTCACAGAAAAACCAATACTATTTTCCTTATTAATACATGGAAAAGTAAGGAAATAATAGTTGCAAACTTAGCCAGAAAGAGAGCGTTCTCTTTTTAGAAAATGGTATCAAAACCTTAATTTCAAAATACATTATGAAATGTACACCTACACATAGAGAAGGAAGACAACTAAGAAGTGCACACTGCTATTTAAGAAATATTAACATATCTAATAGCTGCCTTTACTTATCACTACTATATTGGGTAATTGCATAATAATGTGTATATGCAGTAGAAGAACCGTGAGCAGTCAGTCGTGTCAGACAGTCACCTTAAAAGACAGCAGCGTACAGCTGTCTGGAGTCAGAGGAGCCAGTTGCATGGAATTTCAGTGCAGTCACATTCAAGCCTACAGCCTTGTTCTGATTTGGAAACCAGCACAAACATGGGATCCCCCGTTTCAGCTCATTTGAAAAATACTTTTCTATTAAAATTGCTATCCTTGAGCTGCTCCCGTACAGGAGCACACACACACAGGGGAAAGAAGTTGCACTTCTTTACTCAGTTGCCAAAGTGCTGCACCTCGGCGTCACAAGTTTCTTGGCAATTACAATTCAGTCCCTACGAAGGCAAACTCACAATCTACTGAAGGACATTTGTTCCAAGTATTACCAGAAAGCTAGACCTGGAGATGGAACACAGGCTCAGTCCTGTGCAAGGTGCATCCATGTTTCCCAGCTCTCGCAGAGGAGGCCAGGAGCCGCTGTGCACCGTGTGGCCCCACTCAGGATTCCGGCACAGGTCCAGGGGCACTGGTGCCTGGCCCAGGAGCAGTGCCCTGCCAGCAGCCCAGGCTGCCGAGCACCTGCTAAACCCCTCGGGGTCAGGATGCGACTGGCAATTACCAGTTGCCTCAGAAACTGGCTGGCAAACTACACTGGAAGCGTAAACAAAAGTCTCTGCGTCTTCACCATCAGCGAGCTGTGAGCAGTGTGACACCTTCCTCTGTCTAAAAGAAATACTGGAAAGAGAAGAATTACTGCAATCATTAAAAAAGGGAGTAAGTCACAAAAGACTCCAGTCAGCCTGTCATTACCTCTTCCAGTGGCTTCTCCATGACCTAGGTTTTGCCGTAAAATAAGAGAGAGAGTCTGTTTTAAAGGGCATTGACCACACTGTGGTAATGAATACCTTCTTTTCAAAAGAAATGAGTACCAGCCTCTTCTCTTTGCTAATGAAATAGTGCATTCTTCAGAGACCAGTGAAAGCATCTCACTCAAGCCTAGCTTCCAGGAATTCTCTTCTTTCTGAGATGAGCTCCAGTATTACAGCTTAGTACATCACTAATTGGCTCAGACCAGTCTCTGCCCCCCTTTTGTAGAGTACTGCCTTCTTGGGAGTACTTGCAGAGTAAAAAGACATTCAGGTCCAGGTCCTTGAGGCATTTGAACACTTACCTTAAACTGAAAAACCTGTGTTGTTCTTAATCTTATGGATGCCCTGGAGCAGAAACTGGTATAAGATAAATACTGTATAGCTAAAATATTTGAACATATAATACCCTCGAGATTTATTTTGTGTGCCAAAGCACAAGGAAAATGCACTATATGCCAGCCAGAGGTGAAGGATCATAATCTCACAGTTGCCATATACTTGCAAGTTCTCTGCATGGGAAGCATTGTCCTCAAAGCGATCTGAATTTATGTTGTCTCATAGCAGTCTCACACAGCGGACAAAGCTTTGTCAAACAGTGCTTCATTCCACCAGTGGTGATAAGTGCTTTCTGTCTGCTCCAGTAAATGAGGGAGGACACCACAGCGTGAGTCTTTTCTATCTATCAACACCAAACCCCAAAGAAATAAGAGCAGTGTCACCACTCCATCTGTTTTGCAGACAGCCTGACAGCTGCAGACAGCTTTTCTCTCCACCTTCGTAAGTGTTGCAGTGCAAAAGTTATCTCTCTAAAACACATGAGAAAAGGCTTGCTCTGTTTCCCCCTTTCCTATTAATTAGGATCTAACACTCTCTGCTTGGCTAGACTAATTACTAGAGTCCAGGTGAATTTCCCCAAAGAAAGAAAAAGAACAAGAGGTGGTGGAAAGAACCTGACACGAAAGGAGCAGAACAGGAGACAGGTTTTCCACACCCTCACAGTGTACTGCTGCCCAATCGCTATATATATATAAAAAATATATTCACTTTTGCATGAAGTGTAGTACCCAGTTAGAGATGAGCAGGGGGAGCTAACTGCTCTCTAGACGCACACTCCCATGCTCCTGTTCCTCAGCTAATGGACTCTGATTGTCCTAAATCATCTTTGTATCTCTCTGGACTAGCCAGATTCAGACTTGTCCATTTTTTTCTTTTGCTGACCCAACAAAAATCCCTCTTCAGGCAAAGTTTCTGTTGCTAACAAGTGTTTCTACATGCAGCAGAGAACTGTTGCACTTTAAATACTGACTACTTTCAGCATACTGTACATTCTAGGTTGTCAATTCTTTCCTGGCCTGTTTCTGCTAATTGACAATGCTCCTACGGTACAGACTTCTGTATCAACTGCTCACCTACCTAAATACATATTGAATATGTATTTTATATCTACAAACATCTATATCTATATAAACATATATAGAATATATGTAGAAAATGTTGCTCCAGCAAGGCCAAACTGGAAAAATAACCCAATTATCCATGGCAGAAATGCAGCATAGTTTTCATTTCCAAGGAATCTCTGGAGATGCTGGGACTTCACTAGTTTTATTTACAGTGTAATTCAAAAAATGTAGATGTTGCAAGTCATGATTCTTATTATCTCTTGTCAGCGTTTCATTTGGGGACATAAATATTACAGCAGTACTATTAACATACAGATGTGTTGGGTAATTATAAGGGGACACCCACACAGACTGCACACTGAGACTCACTGCAGTAGGGCTAGGAGCCTTAGGTCATGACTGACTTGGTTGAAATAACTTGGCTACTGTTGTATGCTTTTAAAATCTCTTCTTTACAAATCTGCGTGCTGTAAGCACAAAGCCTGTTCTGGGTGCTGCTCTCAAAAGACACCAATACAAAGCAATGTATTTCTCAACTCTGGAGCCTGTTGGGCAACAACAGCTATAGAGAAGCTTTACTGCAGTTCCAGATCCCTGGGCTGGAGGAATTACACCATCACCTCTGCTTTTCTACCCGCTCACCAGCAGAAACAAGACAGAAAAACAAAGGCAGAAGGAGACAGTGCTACTGCGTAGCACTTGCCTGACTCCGGCTCAGTCTGTTGCCAGAATACCTCTGCCACATTGTCTAATACATGGAGCCAAGCCTACAGAAAGAAATTTTCTCTCTTCCTCTACAGTGATCTGCATTTCAATAAATGAAGCTGTAGTAAGATAAATGAAATGATTTGTCTGCATTTAAATTATGAATAAACTAGAGAAGCTCAAAATTAGCTTCAGCTCTCTCTCATTTGTTTCCTACCTGTGAGCATGCGTAGGCCAGATAAAGTAAAACTCAAGATTTCAGCTGTAGAACCTTGGATCCTGCAAACACAAACCCATCTGGAGGTTGGGAACAAACTTACTCTTTGCCTGGCTGAACTATGTGGCAGTGTGGCATATTGGTTTGCTTTCTTTTTCCAACAGAATAATGATGCCTTCAAAAATAGCACTGAAAAGTCAAATTTCAAATGCTATAGACATAAATTGGCCATTATTAGATTAGTATTCCAAGTAATTGAATTGAACTATAGCTGTTGCAGTCAATTAGTATTAATTCATTCACTTGTTGACTCATTCACTTTAGCACATGAAGGTAAATCAGAAAATAATTTGACTACCTAGCCTGCAATTAGAGATTTGAAGAACATAAACCAAACACAATTAAATGCTGTAGTGTTCAAACTGAATCACTGGTACCTGTAGATGATTGTTTTGGTCTTCTAGAGATAAAACTGTCTGCTAGAATATGTCACAAGGAGATATGACCTGGCTGACAGATATTTCATGTAGCAGCAGTTCATGTAATTTACAGTGCCAGCCTCCCAGATTTTCCCTTGTGCACAGGCTCTTTATTCACAGAAACTTTGGCACAAACATACCTGTAAGTACTGAGGAGAAATGGATGTTGCTGTTAATACTACTGGCACTAGCAATGATGATACAGATGAGGTGTAGAATGCACTCCTCCAGCAAACCAGGAACTGAGAGACCATGTAGTTTATTTTATCAACTTATTGAAATAGTTGGAATGCTGTTGGTGATGTTAGGCTCTCTTAGAAAAAAATTTTCATTATGTTTCTTTGACTATCTATGTCTTTGTCCATGTATTTGCATGCTTGTGGTCTCCTAAATGCCTGGAAGAAGCTAAACACTATTCACTTACTCAGGTTCCTGTATTGACCCTCCAACACAATGGAATCTCTCGGGAACAGTCTTCCAGTCTTTCGCCATCTTAACCATTGCTCCCGCATCTAGGACACCATAGCCAAACAAATGGTTGAATTCCAGCCCAACGCCATTTCTACGCCACTGATGAACCTCATCGTGAAGCTGGTTCCTCTTGGAGGTGAGCACTGTCAGGTGCTGCATGTCTCTCCATGTCAGATCCAAGCTGTGGAAGAGCAACATGGAAAACAAAGCATTACAGTATTTCCAAGTGGATATTAAAGAAAGACAGTGTGTTTGAGTAAGCCTTTTGGTAAAATTTGCTTCTATGAATCACACAGAAACTGTATGTATACACATATCAATAACAAAGCTTCTGTTGATTTCAGTGGGAATAAGAATAGGTTTTAATTTTATAGTACTTCCCAAAAATATATTCCCCAAAATTGCAAAATAATTTCTGATTGTTTCCCTGTTCTTGAAAACAACTGCTTTTAACTACACATTATAGATCCACCATGCAATTTTTAAGCTAATAAAATGAGTAGGGTATTCTACTAGATCCTAAAAAGAATACAAAAAGAAAAGGATGATGACAGAATTTTGCCTAGCCTTCCTCTTAAATCTTGCCCTCCTTTTCTTGCCTGCTCCTCCTGCTTTTCCCATGGACCTTCCAAGATTCACCCAGAGAAGTCGCAGTCTGATGAAACTGATGAGCTACACCAATCAAGGTGTTAGTAATTTCAGTATTCTGTGAATACGGGTATATGGGCTGTGGGTGGCTGTAGGTTTGAATTATAAGGTACGGTAGAGGTTTGTCACCCGTGATACACTAGCATGGAGGGATGCAGTCAAGTAACATTTGTCTAGATCTGATGATCATTTTTCATCATCAGCTCTTGTCTTCGTAGATTTGCAATTATTACAATGACAGGAAGGGCACTTACAAGTTATTATTTTCGTGCCGCTTGCATAGGCACTGCAGAGAAATGGGCACTTGTCACAGAATCATAGAATTGTAGAATAATTTGGACTGGAAGGGACCTTTAGAGGTCATGTAGTCCAACCCCCTTGCAGTGAGCAGGGACATCTTTAACTAGATCAGGTTGCTCAGAGCCCCCTCCAACCTGACCTTGAATGTTGCCAGGAATGGGACCTCTACCACCTCTCTGGGCAACTTGTTCCAGTGCTTCACTGCCCTCATTATAAAAAATTTCTTCCTTATATCCAGTCTAAATCTACCCCCCTTTAGTTTAAATCCGTTATTCCTTGTCCTGTCACAACAGGCCTTGCTAAAAAGATTCTCCCCATGTTTCCTACAGGCCCCCTTTAAGTACTGAAAGGCCGCAATAAGGTCTCCTCGCAGCCTTCTCTTCTCCAGGCGGAACAACCCCAACTCTCTCAACCTGTCCTTGCAGGAGAGGTGCTCCAGCCCTTGGATCATTTTTGTGACCCTCCTCTGGACCCACTCCAGTGGGCCCATGTCCTTCTTGTGCTGAGCGCTCCAGAGCTCGATGCAGTCCTCCAGGTGAGGTCTCACCAGAGCAGAGCAGAGGGGTAGAATCACCTCCCTCAACCTGCTGGCCATGCTTCTTTTGATCAGTCCAGGATATGGTTGGCCTTCTGGGCTGTGGGTGCACATTGTCATCTCACGTGCAGCTTTTCATCCACCAGTACCCCCAAGTCCTTCTCCACAGGGCTGCTCTCAATCCCTTCGTCCCCTAGCCTGTCTTGATACCAGGGGTTGCCCCGACCGAGGTGCAGGACCCTGTACATGGCCTTGTTGAACCTCATGAGGTTCACACAGGCCCACTTCTCGAGCTTGTCCAGGTCCCTCTGGATGGCATCCCATCCCTCAGGCAAGTCAACTGCACCACTCAGCTTGGTGTCATCTGCAAACTTGCTGAGAGTGCATTCGATCCCACTGTCTGTGTCATTGATGAAGATATTAAACAGTACTGGTCCCAATACAGATCCCTGAGGGACACCACTTGTCACCGATCTCTATCTGGACCATTGAGCTGTTGACCACTACCCTCTGGATGTGACCATCCAACCAATTCCTCATCCACCAAACAATCCACCAATCAAATCCACATCTCTCCAATTTAGAGAGAAGGATGTTGTGCAGGACCGTGTCAAAGGCTGTACAGAAGTGTAGATAGATGACATCTGTACCTCTTCCCTTGTCCACTGATGTAGTCACTCCATCATAGAAGACCATTAGGTTGGTCAAGCAGGACTTGCCCTTGGTGAAGCCACGCTGGCTGTCTCGAATCACCTCCCTGTCCTCCACATGCCTTAGCATAGCTTCTAGGAGGATCCGTTCCATGATCCTCCCAGGCACAGAGGTGAGGCTGACAGGTTGGTAGTTCCCAGGGTCCTCCTTTCTACCCTTTTTAAAAATGGGTGCAATGTTTCCCTTTTTCCAGCCGCCGGGGACTTCACTTGACTGCCATGACTTTTCAAATGTCATGGAGAGTGGCTTGGCAACTACATCAGCCAGTTCCCTCAGGACTCTGAGATGCATCTCGTCAGGTCCCACAGACTTATGTATTCTGGAGGCTTTAGAACTGACATTCTAATACTACAGAACTAAAGCTGTTCCAGCTGTTTTATGATGAACTCTTTCAACATTACAATATGTCTGATTCAAACCATCAATATAAAAGGATCCGCTTCTCAGCTTTCTGTGCCCCAAGTAATAAGCATGTGTGCATCCTGAATGTACACCAGAATAGCCAATTACTGTCATTTTTCCAAGGTGACACATGATAGCTGAAAACCAGATATCACTTGCATCATTCTTACTGAAACCTTTTAAGAGCTGCTATGTATCTTAAAACTGTACTTTCCATTTCACAGATTGGTCTGTTTTTAGAGACATGTCAAACATATATTGTATATGAGCTGAGAGACATACGGCAGGCAGCAGTCATCTGTATGGGAAATTGTTAGCCATTCCTGTGAAGGCTAGTGTAATTCATCCAGGGTAGTTCTGCACTCTAAAATGGGAGTTTAATAGACCCAGCCTGGGAGGAGATAGGAGACACTGACAGTCCTTTCTATCTTCCCCTCCCACCCCCACCCTTCTGAGCAAAGGCTAGAAACCCAATTGCAAACCAGGGGTATTAGTGTAATTTCTACTCGTGATAGTTTGGCAAGAGTTATTCCAGTCTTCATGGATAGTCCAAATAAAGAGGAATGGTAATTATCGCTGAGATACTAAGGTTGTAGTCCAGGTTAAACATGCAGTGGTCAGAAAATTCATTAAACCTTTATATTTTTATGGTCATAATTACTTATTACATCGTGGCTGTCCCACTGAATGAATTTGATAGTAGAAGGATCGATCATCCGAAGTTAAACACTTGGCATGTACGTTTTACATGTATAAAACCTGAACAATGAGACTTGGCTCAAGTCATGCTCAGCAATCATTGCTCTGCTAATGATAGAAACTTTGTCTCCTCTGCCAAATCTCCATTCTTCTGCATACTGTTGAAGAAAACTATGTACGTAGTGCTCACTTCATGCCGTGGTTACAGCAGCTGAAGCTGTATACTAGAGCAAATGTTGCCTCACTTCATAAAATAACTTAACACAAAGTAAAAAGATGGTATAGGTTATTGTAAGGAAAACTCTTCCTAATCATTAGAGAAGATGACAACGAAGCAAGATATGCGAGAGGTCTCCAATGTCATGAATAGCATGGAGATGGTAAATAGACAATGGATATTTATTCTTTCACATAACAGAGCAATTATGTAGCACAGAAGCAAATTACCAGCAATGGGTTAAGAAAAAACAAAGGAAACATTCCTCACCACCATCGCCAAAAACTATTATTACTGTGGAACTGATTGCCACTGGATGGTACAGGTGCCAAATACAGACAAGTTGAAAAAGAGTTAGACAAATTCAAGGAAGATAAGTCTGCCTGTGGCTATTAAACAGGATAGGGCTGACTGCTCTCTCTCCGAACCACTGATTGCCAAAGCTGTTGTTGAAAGATTGCTTTTAATCCCCATTTGTTGTACTCTCCCCTAAGCATCTGTCATTGCAGACAGTATGTGGCACAAGATATACTCCTGTCTGATACTATAGGTTTGTTCTTATGTTTTTGTAGGCTGGGCATTCCCCACTGGATATGTGGAGAAATGAAATAATCTCTCCCTCCAAACAGTGCTGGAGAAGACAAACCCCTGGAAGCACTGGATGGAGAAGATGCAGAGAGCGAGTCAGCCAAAATGTATCTGTTACATGGCTTTGGCAAGACTGTCACGCCATCTGTAAGTTACCAAGCATGTCACTACTGTAGCAGGCAGCTTGTTAGCTGTTCGTTCTAGCCCTGTGCCACAGACAGCCAACTTGTATGATGAACAACATTAAACAAACCCCAGGCCCTCTCCTCTCTAGAGCTCGCAAGGAATTTCTCAACAGCATACTTAGCCTCCAGGGCCAAGGCGAACACTCCAGCTGCTTCAGGGGCAGCTGCAGACGTTCCTGAGTGACGCAGGGTGCAGTTGCCATATAAGTCCGTTGTAGCCTGCAATGATAATAGACATAATTAATGAAACTAGCTAGTCCATTTTCCTTGCAGCTACAGACGCAGAAAAATACAGAAAGTGGAGTTTGTGCCGTTGCTCTTTAGAGTACTTGTGTGTTTGTTGCTAGGATCTGTTTTCTACTTTAGAATAGCGTATCAATTTAAAAACAGTGAGACATAGTTACAGAAGGTATGAATGCAAGAATAAATTATGATGTAGGAAAACAATGTTCATTACCACTTAGTCATAAACTCATATGGATCTCATTTATTTCCTACAGAGTCTAACCAAAGGCGTTAAATTCCCTTGTGGTTATCAGAAGGATTTGAAACTAGAATTGATGGCAGTATTAAGCTTTCTAACATTTGTGCAACTCCAAAACCAACAGTAGTACCAGGCTGCTATCTTCTATGCAGATTAGTAATTAGAAGAAACCAGAAGGAAACTTTTTAAGTACATTTTATGGTGATAATTACAAAGGTGCCACAGATCATTTCGGCTGATATCAAGACAGAAACCAGTATTTTTCCATCTCGTACTGCACAGGGGCATTTAGGATGCTACAGTGTCTCTTTGGGTTTGAGACAGGGCCAAGGAAAATGTATAGAGGCTTCTGGCAAAGACCTTGAGTTATTACACCTGAATTTTCCACTCTGTGAATTAGACTATGTCCTGGCTAGTCTGAAGGTGCTGAAGAGCAGTGATTGGTACAGGGGAAGAGAATCCCAGTTACACTTGAACAGAAACTGCATATTTTCCAGTTGTAGGTACAGCCCTGTAGGGGATGAATACGATGCTCTGCACCGCTCAGTATGAGACCTGAGGGTGATCTGAACCCCCACATTCCCTCTGTAGGTGACTGAATGTCGTTCTGCTCTGTGCAGCTTCTAGTACAGCACAAGACTGGTTCATGGATGCTCTGCCAGTACAAGTAAGTATGACCTCAGATGTTGACACTTTTCATTTAGATTTTTACAGAGACCTTTTATCACACTGTCCTCTGGAAAGATTGTAACTGAACTTCTAAACCTGCTTTCCGATAAAAGAATGCACCAACTATATGAAGATCTAAGAGATGGAAGATCATTGCTTTTCTCAATATTAATCCCACATCTCTTCAGCTGACAGTTTTGGCACGATCGCGTACTGCAGATGAGAAAATATCCATCTCAACAAAAGACCATCTGCTGCTCCAAAGCAGACAGAGTTGTAATAGGTCATGGGAGTGCACAAAGACAGGAGCAACAGGACAATAATATCTGGACTCACCACACCAGCCTCCGGATTTCTCTTCCTCCCGTTACTAAAGGTGGAGGCTAAGGTTGAAGAGCAGCTTTCATCATATAGAGCTGTCCGTCCATCATTTATAGCGGAATTGATGGAGATCGTCCACATGCTCGATGCATAACCGTCACAGTTACAGTCATCGTAGCTGCCCCCATCTCCAGAGGCCCAGACATAGATGCTTCCTTTGCCACCTCGGCCCTGTGAAAGGGGAAAATTGACCCTCTTGGGTTAAATTGCAAAAAGGAGATAGCAGCTACTTTAAACTGTACCTCTAATTGTAAAGCTAGGCATCTATAAAGGAGAAAACTGGTCCAAACAAAATATAAATCAAACTTAAGCTAAAATGACATGGACTTCTGCAGGTTATTAAATCCATTTAACTGGCAGCCACAGCCACTTCTGCAACCTTATGTACACAGAGCACTTCCATTTATCTCCTGCTTTGCTTGATGCCCTGAAGGCTCCTGTGCCAGATGCTAAGACATTTTATGGATTCATTAGTGTTTATGTCAAGGTCTAAGTGCTATGAGGAAAGCGTTCTTTTAAAAGGGATATAGGTCATCTCACACACTGGGTTACTAAGATCCAATTCGGTTCAGGCAAAAAACTCTGTAAAACTGGCACCTTTTTCTCTCAATAGATTTTTCTCCAAAGGTATCACTGACTCAGAGCTGTTTTTCTGACAAACCAGCTTCTACTACTAAGCAGAAAATAAAGTTATGGGACGATATGTGCACTTGCAGCCCAGAAGGCCAACCAAATCCTGGGCCGCATCAAAAGAAGTGTGGCCAGCAGGTCGAGGGGGGTGATTCTGCCCCTCTGCTCTGCTCTGGGGAGACCTCACCTGGAGGTCTGCGTCCAGCTCTGGGGCTCGCAGCACAAGAAGGACATGGACCTGTTGGAGCAGGTCCAGAGGAGGGCCACAAAAATGATCCGAGGGCTGGAGCACCTCTCCTGCAAGGACAGGCTGAGAGAGTTGGGGTTGTTCAGCCTGGAGAAGAGAAGGCTGCGAGGAGACCTTATTGCGGCCTTTCAGTACTTAAAGGGGGCCTGTAGGAAACATGGGGAGAATCTTTTTAGCAAGGCCTGTTGTGACAGGACAAGGAGTAATGGCTTTAAACTGAAGGAGGAGAGATTTAGGCTGGATATAAGGAAGAAATTTTTTACAATGAGAGTGGTGAAGCACTGGCACAGGTTGCCCAGAGAGGTAGTAGAGGCCCCATCCCTGGCAACATTCAAGGTCAGGTTGGAGGGGGCTCTGAGCAACCTGATCGAGTTGAAGCTGTCCCTGCTCACTGCAGGGGGTTGGACTAGATGACCTCTAAAGGTCCCTTCCAACCCAAAGCATTCTATGATTCTATGATCTACAGAAAGATGGTCTACCAATTGCACAGAGAAAGCAAGAGAAGGATGGGAGAGACTGAAGCTTAAGTGCAGCTATAAAGGCTTCCCATTAGTTGAAGGAAAGAAATTCGTATCGTCTCCCCAACTTCCAGATAGGCAAGGAGCGGGAAGAGATCAACTCAGCTCCTTCTTCTCATCCCATACTAAGAAAGAGGTAGGGGCTACCTGGAAGAAGGTAAGACCCGAGAACCCTGACACTCAGGGAAAGATCAGTGCTACTGAACCCAAAGCTCAGATCTCCCACTGATTCCAGAACAGCTACCATTTCTCTCTACGTTTAGTCTAATGTAATCTGATGTTTACTTCCAACAGCGCCAGAAGGGCGCAAGGCCTCAATTTAACATACTGTTTATACGCATTGGGCAGAAGGTAAGAAAAAAATCTCTTCTGGCCTCTTCATTGTCCAGCATGAAATGAAAGTTAAAGAATATACAAATGTAGCAACCTGCAATGGTATTTTAATAGGAAACCTTTTCTGCCAGGAATTTAAATCAAATCTGAGCTCCCAGCAGTAGCTTCTATTTTTTATCATACCCCACTGAACAGAGCAACCTCATTATTTCAAGCACGTTAGTGAGTCGCATTATAATCCACTGAATTGCACAGCAGGTTTGCTGCCACTGGGGTACATAACATCTCAGGACATAGATTTTCATAATAAAGATGATGATTATGAAAAAGCTTATTGAAATCAGTCTAAGAACTCCCACAAAGATCTGAGATCAATCATTGAGTTTTAAGGGAGGAGGTTACCATTGCAAAAATATATACTCTAAGAACACAATAATTCCAGCAAATTATTTAAAAAAAAAAAAAAAAAAAGTTCATCATAACAAGAACAGTTATGCCTTTTTTCCCTTTGACTTTATCCCCTACGGGGCCCAGCCCTGGGCTTTGGACTCACTTCAGAGGCTACGACCCAAGCTTGCCATCATGCCCACGTACACCATCACACCACCCACCTTGCCACCATCTGCCTCCTTTGGACAGCCTTGGTGGCAGCTTGAGCACATCTCTGTCCCAAAAAGGCAGGCTGCTGCCCAACACAGAGAGCAGGTGGCTGCTGGTGCCAGGAATAGGACATTTGGCATGTACAGACCCATTCTTAAACCACCGTTTCCTTCCAGCCATTTTAAAGGGAGAGAAAACACTTCATTTTCATGTGATAAATCCACAAAAGTAGCTTGGTGCCTGGAAGTTAGCCTCTGCGGTGTTCAGCATGGGGAAGCAGATCTAGCCCTGCTCAGCAAATTGTTCCATGCTGCCAAAACTGGGTACTGCTGCACAGCATTTCACCCCATGGGTGGGATTTATGGCAGAAAACGGGAGTAACAGATTGCTGGTGGGGAGCAGGGGGAATCCACAGAGGAACTGAAATCTGGGCTGGAGTTTGTGGGTGGAATTAGCCTGCTTGAGTGCTGCTGGGGACGGGTTTTCTGCATGTAATTACTGTAATGTGAGAATGGCCTCAGGATATCACTTCTATAAGTATCACATCCACAAGTGCAGCTTAGTGTTAAAAACCATAATTCACCTCTTAACACTCTAATTTCAATTGTCTTTCTGTTTTAGCCAGGACTGAAAAGAAGAGCAAACACTACCAGAATAAACTGATAGCGGCTCAAGTACATTATTTGCAATGATCACAGAATCATAGAATCGTTTAGGTTGGAAAAGACCTTTAAGATCATCCAGTCCAACCATTAACCTAACATTACCAAGTCCACCACTAAATCAGTTAAGGGTAGAGTAGCAACCCCACGCATCCTGGCTTGGTAGCTGGATCATTTATAAAGAAAGTAAAAACTAGGAATCATTAAGATTGGAAAGGATCTCTAAGATCATCAGTCCAAGCATCAACCCAACACCACCATGCCCACTAAACCATGTCACAAAGTGCCACATCTACCCGTTTTTTTGAACTCTTCCAGGGATGGTGACTCCACCACCTCTCTAGGCAGCCTGTTCCAATGCTTGACCACCCTTTCCATGAAGAAATTTTTCCTAAATTCCAATCTAAACCTCCCCTGGCGCAGCTTGAGCCCATTTCCTCTTGTCCTATCGCTAACTACTTGGGAGAAGAGACCAACACCCACCTCACTACAACCTCCTTTCAGGTAGTTGTAGAGAGTGATAAGGTCTCCCCTGAACCTCCTTTTCTCCAGACTAAACAACCCCAGTTCCCTCAGCCACTCCTCATAAGGCCTGTGCTCCAGACCCTTCATCAGCTTCGTTGCCCTTCTCTGAACATGCTCCAGCACCTCAATGTCTTTCTTGTATTGAGGGGCCCAAAACTGGACTCAGTATTCCAGGTGCGGCCTCACCAGCGCCGAGTACAGGGGCACAATGATGCTTACGACTTGCTTCTTACATTTCTCACAACCAGACCTGCAGTAGTTGGACAGTTCGCACAGGCAAACTGTTTGGTGGCTGTCCTCAGGTATCGTTTCATTCGACCATGCAGAAATACATGGCTTCAGGGGAAGTGAATTTTCAGTTCTCTGGATGGTAGTAGTCTAAACCAGAAAAATCTAAGTTGGGACAACTGAGTGTCACATTTAAAGCCAATTGAAAACTCCTATTTGCATCGCGACCTTACATGAACCTCAAAAAATTCAGTGATGTCACTCAACTTAGGCTGCTCTTAAGTGTAGGCCAAAACCAGGACTGGAGAAGGTGGTAGTAATACAGGCTACAAACACCAGAGGGAGCCTGAAGGAAGATTCAGGAAGAACAGCGAAGACCAGCAGGATAACAACATACATTTTAAAGAGTATCTTTCCTCCAGAACCCTGTTGAAAACTGCTCATTTCCCCCAAAAGCGATGCACAGTGTGGCACCCCCGTTTCGAAGCCATCTGAAGCTGTGTCTCACTCAGCACTGAAAATGGATCTTGGTGCATTTAGTACTAGCCCAAGAGAGGCCCATCTCTCAACTCAGGCTAAACCAGAATTAAATCTTGGGCAAGGCTTATATGCTTAGAAAGTCACAGACAACTACTGAGAAGCTCTCTTTGCAGAAACAGCAGGTTTTCTATTTCCAGTGTCCTTCATGGGATGTTGTGCTACCAGCAAAAAATATCCCTGAGAAATTTTCTTACCCCTTTTCTCATCTTTTAAAGAGCATAATCCCAGAAAAACTTCTGTGAACTACCTTGCAAAAGTGAGTGGGCAGGGCACTGCAGCCTAATTCACTTTATGTAACTTCAGGCACATCTTGAACTTTTTTTTTCCCCTGAACATTTTTTTTCCCTTGTTATTGTGTTCATTCATCATGTTTGCTGGGCTAGTGCCTAAGCCAGTGTTTCTCAAAGTTTTGATTGTTGGCTCACACTACCCAGATAAAAATGGGTGGTATTTGACAAATAAATCTCCTCCAGCTTCTCTGACCTTTCCCATCAAGGCTGGCAAGCACCCATGTGAATAACAGCTGGGCCTCTAGCATGGCATGGCCTCTGCCTTGGCTCCTCTTGTTCACCCACTCCCACCTGGCCATCGGGGTTGCTAAAGATGGATGGAAGGAAAGTAACAGTCTTTACAGCACGTTTCTGATGCCCTTTGGCTTTGGCCTAATCCTTCAGTTGTAGATCAGGACTAACAGTTTCCAAAGAGTACAAGCTAAAAACAAAGAACAGACTCCTGTCCTGAAAAGCCAAGTACCAGGAAAGACAGCATCAGGACAGCGGCAGGCAGATGGACTCAGGATTAAGAAGAAGAAAAAGCAGCACCTGAGGTATTATTTTTTAGGCGCCGTAAAAAGGTATTTCAGGATAAGGACAGCCAAATGGTTTGCTG